CGTCCCTTTGATCCACTTTATTAAAGAAGCATTTCTAATTATTTCAGTCAGTATTACGAAATAGAACTCGAGCTCGGCACATCAAAAATACTGTGACGGGTTACTCTGCCAGCAAGTTTGCTGAGATTAAACGGTGTATTATTAAGATGAGCTTAATTCTACCAGTCTCTTAGTATCTTACCTGATACAAACGTTCTTTAAGAGATGGCCAGCAATGTTATTTAAATGTTATGATTGAATTGCTTTTAAATCATCACAACATTACCACCTAAAACATGCCATATAATTAGTTTATCTCTTCTTATTCAAAAATTGAGGAAGTAAAGGAGATTTTTGGGTCGCCAAGCTTACAATGGACATAATCATTAAAATGAAATTCACTTTTCTTAATACTTATTCATCTATGTTTTTGTCCTGTGTCATAGCGTATTATGAAGTAACGCAAGTCCCGACAGAATATAAGGATGAAAAATTGATATTAGTTTCCATCACCCCATGACAAAAATTAAAGTTCGATAAGTCTTTTTACTGCGAGGCAGAGCACAAAATATTTCGCACGGATCTATTTGAAACATACGCGTTCATACTCTTGTTAGGAGAGAGTTACAGCTTAATGAGCAAAATTTGCAAATTTGCGTTTCTTCGCTCGCTTGGTTATTGGGTCGTGAACTTTTTGGTCAATTTTCGCTTGTCAGTGCGTAAGGCTTGCGTATATCTTAAGAAGCTATAATAAGATGTCATTTTTNGCGTTTCTTCGCTCGCTTGGTTATTGGGTCGTGAACTTTTTGGTCAATTTTCGCTTGTCAGTGCGTAAGGCTTGCGTATATCTTAAGAAGCTATAACAAGATGTCATTTTTATCCGGTCACGTGAAATGCCAGCCACGTTAAATGTGGATGAGAATACTCAACCGAACGAAAAGTGAACATTGGGCAAAATCTCATTAACAAGGAGCTCATATAGCTTCGCGTTTGTCTATTCTCGGCGCGAGTTCGAGATACATGCAGAATTAAGAAATTCACATGGGCCTTAAATCATTTGCTGTAATATAGCAGATCTTGTGCTTAAGTGTGAATTCGCTTGATCATAACAGTTGCTTTTTTTTAAAACTGATCATTTGATTTCAAATTTAATAACTTGAACTTGAGGGGTAACTTGGTTTACAACAACATCAACAACAACATCAACCATTATTTGTACCCGTTCTTGCAAAAAACATACATTTGATAGAAAAAGTTAAATATGAGATAGAGTACTGCATCTGTAAATTAAAACTGTAAACCGTAAATTGATATTTCGTAAATAGATAAACTGAAATGTTTGTTGGTTGACTAAATACATTCAAAGTAGCTTATTGCTAAAAGTACAAAACAAGTGATCTATACTCTCGTAGACTCGTAATGTTTTCTCAAATAAATAGAAGACATTTTCTCTGTGTTCCTATCGAGTTACAGAAACACAAT